TTTTTTAATTCAGGAGATTATAAAAAAATCCTTCACTTTATGAGAAGACCGTCTTGATTCAAGAGAAAACTCCTTTTTAAAAAAAATGACTGCTTATTAATTAATTGTTAATCAGTCTATTAAGATAAATCAACTTCAGATTAATTCATTATGAATAACTTGCATCCTTAAGGAGTTAATTTATATCTACTCACATTCATGTAATTAAGCGTTTTAATGATTTGGCCGATTAATCGAAACAATAATCAACAGATTAATCGATTATTAAAATAATTGTTAGTTGCAGCGCTAATAAACATTTATTCTAAATATAATCTTGAGGCAGGCTGACCTATGATTTATTAAATTATGAGTATGAGTATTGTTTTGTCCACACATCAAATTTGGCTGAAATGTTAATTTTAAAACACGTGTTTTTGTTTTAACAGTGGTAAACACATTTGTTATTGTGATTTGTAGCTTTATKTATGGTGTATGTTATTGTTAATAAATAATCCGTACACGATTATGATAAAGTTTTAGAGATAATCCATGGCACCGGATGCTTCCAAACTGGACCATGATGCTTTGCGCTATGCAAAGATGGCCGTATCCGCGAGTACTTAATTAGAGTGAAATTTTGCTAACACTTGAATTTTAAACTCCACCACATTTCATCATCATTAGAGGCGAAATCATGCTAAACGAACCCACATCCGGTACCAAACATCAGCAGCTACACTTTCATTGTTTATCAGCGACTAAAAAATAAAACTAGCTACAGGCAGCTAGCTGCTGCTTCAAGTTAGCTTCAACAACCAAATGAACGAGTGAAGCATCTGAAAAACAGGAGGTATGAAGAAAGTTGATAAAACATGCCGGTGAGTTTAATTAGATAATAAAAAGAACCAAAATAAGAATCATTCAAGCAGCTTTTTTCCGCCTAGCTCGGCTAAGCTAACAAACTAAAACCACGAAGTCTTCACCTAGAAGTGTCTTTCAAAACTTTCCTGCTGATTTATAAATCATACCACGTACCTTTATCATGTATGCGTCGGGAGAAATCTCATAAACGAGACACCACCGACAATATTCCGAAAAGTATTTACAGTAAATAAGCTAACAAATGTGTCTCCATTCTAACAAGAAGGACACCGACATTTTACAGTACGTCACWGACTACCAGCGAACGTGATGACGCAGGAAACAAGACGCACGTGTGTTGATGGGTTAAAAAAATCTCTTCCAAAATTAAAATAAGAATTTAAAAAAAGCTAACTCAGTTACGATATTTTTATTATGTGACATACAAATAACAATAATAATAACAATTTTAACGATAATATTAGTAAGAATAATATTGTTGAAACAGAAAGTGTTATTTTCAACTATAGCCACCAGAGGGCGACAAATAACAATTTTAACAGCCAGAATTGTGATAGAGTCTTTTTGTTCATTTTTAGTTTTTATTTTTTTGGTCTAGAAAACTCAGTTAAACTAATTAACACAAACAATATTTGCATTTACTGGTGTTTTTTTAAACTAAGAATGAAATTGTAAGATAAACCTTGTGCAACCATATTTCACTTGTAAATAAGATTTAGTTGGACTGAATAAAATGCAGAAAAAAATAGTAAATACTTTGGGATAAGATGAGAATTTGATTTATTTTTAGTTTAGGAAATCAAAATAAAACCCACACATAATAACTGCGTGGTTAATGAAAATGTTGACTCATTTTTATATTGGTATGAATTTCCTTATTGTTTATAAAAAAAATGTGATTTGTCTTTCCTGTAGAAGTTTTCTACATTATTTAAACAAAAAATTAAATTTAAAATGTATTAAATATTGTTGAATAGCTGTACCTATTTTGACTGGACTGGTTCTGATTGATGATCTGAGAGCTTTAATAAAATCTGTTCATAGAATAGTTTGCTAACAGACAGGGTTGACTTCAACAGCTAATGCTAACATTTACAGCAAAGATTATGCAGATTGAGTTACAGTGTAGCATATCTTTAATACAATTGAATTAAAACTATTTTGTCTTTTCCGAGGTAATCATAAACCGAGTTCGCTCCAAAAGTTAATCAGTTGCTGAGGTTTATCTAATGAATATAGTCTGAAAGTTTCATTAAAATCCATGCATTGGTACATGAAATATTTTGCTAACAGACAGACAGAGTTGATTCTGATGGCGAAACTTTAATCAAAACTTCTGCGTAAAATGAAAACACTTAAAACATCTTGTTGAGAATGAGTGTCAGCTACTACCTCGCCAGGTTTTAGATCAATTCTGTAAAATGAACCGGATCAAACCCATATTTGTGCGTTTTGTTAAAAGTTGTCAAGGAGTTCATGAGATATTTTGCTAACAGACACACACTGACGCAGGGTCAAAACTATTATCGCCGACCTTCCCGTATTTTGGCAGCTGACTTTTTTCTCCCCCCTTTTTCTTTTACACCTATTGAGGAAAATAAAAACAACTTAGGAGCACTCCTCTGTGTGTGTGTGTGTGTGTGTGTGTGTGTGTGTGTGTGTGTGTGTGTGTGTGTGTGTGTGTGTGTGTGT